TATCATACATGCACAGCTTCAGCATATCAAGATCAGCTGATGACTTTTCAATGTGAAAACGCTGCTGCCACGATCTCACGGAGATCACCTCGACATGAACATTTTGAGGAGTCACGACAGAAAGGCCAAGCGTTGTAACCCAGAGCTGTAATCGTAAAGTCTGTCCGCACTTAGAAATCCAATGAAACTACTCGCACTTATTTTAGGATCAAATTAGCCTTTTCTGAAAATCGTAAAGCTGTATTGGTATAAAAAGACAAAAAGTACTCGTAAATAATACCACTCGTATTATCCACTGTGCACTGGCCGGCTACCTTGTAACAGGTAGGTGTTTGTGTCACTGCACCAAAAGGCTGTGTGTGATAGCAGCTGCTAGGAAATGTTACTCTCTGCTCATGTATTTTTCAGATTCAGGGTTTGACTGAGAATTACAATTGGAAGCAGCACTGTTTGGTTTCCCGGTTGGGGGAGGGCGGGGACGTTGCTAAAAAAGCCAAACGAAATACATACACTATGTACAGCATCATTTATGAAGGCAAGGGAGATCTCAGCGCACCAACTTTTGATTTAGAAATCTCTGGCTCTCAATTGTTCTGTTAAAAACAACACTTGACCTTTGTGCAGAATCTTTAGGGGGAAAAAACCCAATCAGTAACCATATCAAACATAAAAAAAAAGAAGAAGAAGATCAAAGTCAAACTCAAAACATCTCCACAGTACTGATACGTTACAAAACAGAGGTTGGCAATGCTTCTATGTACCCAAAGACACAAGTTCTTTTTTTTCAGTTCATATAATCAATAAATTAGCCAGAATAATGCATTTCCTGTGTAAACATCTGTTAGTCTAACAATGTCATTCTGCGATGAAAGAATGTATACAGATTAACCACACGTAGAGCCACAAAAACAACGAAACACGATTCAAAGACAGCTTCAACACTCATCGGGGAAGTAAACCTTTACATTTAATGTGAGCTTTACCTGCCACATGCACCTGATGTGACCTTGGATTTGGGTCCCTTTCTGGTTTTTAAATCTTACTTAGTCCTTCGCTCCAGGAATCTGCGTTAAGTGGACAGACATTTCAACTCCTCCCTGAGTCAAACTCACTTTTTAAAAATCTCTACCTCCCACATTGACCTTGTTTTGCTCTCGTTCAATGTCCGCAATGCTTCAGTCGCACAAAGCTTTGAACCATAGCACAAGAAATGAGTTTAACCCCCCTCCTCCCTCCAAATAGATAAATGGTTGTCTGAAAGCACTTGTCCATGATGTGGCAGACTAAGGTAATAACCGTGCACAATCATGCTCGTACACATTTACGCACGCACCTTTCATCGTGTCGTCTTGATGAGATTGTCCTGATTTAGTCTTCCCTAAATCCTGATATATTCGCCTTCTGTGAGTGTCATTAGTACCATTACTCCTATGCCCTTTCCCCACAGAAACCCCGCAGGGCTGCTCTAATTTATTAAGATGTTTTAATGTCTGCTAAATCTTGGCACACATCAGGCTTTCCGTTCATCAAGTCAGACTGTTAAATAGACCCCTGTGTCCTGCGCTGACACATTTCAGATCTATCCGCTTCTGCCATCTCAGAGCTATTGAAAGATGAAGTGAAGCAGGTCTGAATACCTGAGCTGCGGGGTTTCGCTGAAATACATAAATAAACAATGACAACACGGACCACATAAAAAAAAACAAACAACCAATACGACTGACAACAAAGGACAAATTCACAGAGTATTAAAAACACAGCTGACCACACATTTAGCCAAATAATGTCTAAGCTGGTGGCTAGATTTCAATTATCAGACTGGCACAATTGGCAGCGCTTTAAACCTCTCGTCCCGACGGCAATGGCTGTGAATATACGCTGACTGGCACTGGCTGTGTGGTCCCAGATGGATGTAGACTGGGGCTGCAACTGATGATTATTTTCGCTATTGATTAATCAGTCAGTTGTATTTCCCATTAATCACTCAGAAAACTGTGAACAATGTATATCCCTCTTACTCAGAGCTCGAGGCAACATCCAAAGATTGCTCATTTTGTTTGTTTCAAAGCTCAAACATATTGGATTTTCTTTTTCATGCCATACATTAAAGACATGAGAGTTCTGGATTGTGATTGGCCACTAGGTGTGTCTTCGTGTCTGGTAACCAGGCAGCTGCTTTATTTTAAATTAGCTCATCAGCATTAAACTGGTTTGACAAAATAAGCTTCACCTATGGAGCTTTCACTCGACATGAGGAGAGAAATACAGCTGAAATCTTCCAAACAAGCAAAGAGACTCCTTAGTTCAGATTATTTGTGTCATTTCTTTAAACTGTATTGCCTTACCTATATAACTCTATCATAGAGATGCTATACCACCCTTGTGCGTGCATTCACAACAGAACCAGTGCCAGGCTCTGTTAGGAAAGAGCAAATTCAACCATGTCGGAAGCATAAGAATTTGTCTTTGACACCGCAGTGAGGTGTAAAATGCAATAATTGTCCAAGAGAGACTTTGAGTCTTTAACTGAAAGCACTGGTAATGTTTCAGTGTAAAAACCAGGTGTTTAACAAATAAAAAACGCGACAGAGAAGTTCAAACCCAGCTTACTTTCTCACCTCCACACGGCTGGCAAATCAGAGTGAAGTGGGTGTGAAGTGATTGTTGATATTGTCAGTTTAGTCAGATAGAGAAATTTGTTTGTTTCGACTACCTGACGTGCCCCATCTGATGAAGTAAACAAATAAGTAAGCTTCAGAGGTGCTGGCTGTGAATACTGGACAAAGTCAAGCTGACGGTTTGCTGAGCTATGCTTACGCACTGGTCCCATTGTCAATGTGCTAACATGAGAGTGGTATCAGTCTTCTCTTTTAACCAACCGTGGAAATATCAATTTGAATGTGACATTAGACTCAATGACATTTTGCTTTGCTCCGTGCTATCAAAGGTCAGTAACCAGCGGCCTGTACTACAAAGCAGAGGATTTCTATCCAGGTAACTTCAGGTTAACCCTGAGTTTTCTTTACTATGAAGGTGGTTCGCTTTTTATCGCCATAGTAACTCATGCTGTGAAGCTAAAGAAGCTTTTGTTCCATTTTAGCAACCAACAGGTATGAAGTCACCTCCTACTGATTGATCAATTCTCCAAAAACAGCATCATGATTCCTGAAACATCCCTCACATCTGTGGATAGCAGGAGGGTCTAAAGGGAAATCTTTGAATTTCCCTGATCAGCATCAGGAATAAATTGAACAACAATTTTATTGTTCTGAAAGCGTTAATATGTGATCCTAAAATCCTAAAATAGAGGAGCTACTTGACTATTTTTTATATTTATTCTTAACTCTCAGACCGCTAAACACCACCAGCCCTGCAGCAGAAAGAATAAAACCTAAAACTGTCTTATAAACATTAATTAAAGGGAATATTCGATTATAATCCATCAGATTCTCCTGTGTTTTAATGATAGAGCTGTGATATCGATAATTCAGTAAAGTTACACAGTGGGCATTTTTTCAGTCCTGGCTTCAAACAGGCTAAACGCTCACGCTTTCATACAGCGTGTTTAATACTAAACGACTGTACAGCACTTTTCAGACTGTTTCATTTTTAACCTCTTCATTTTTTCCCATTGCATAGTTTTATCTTCTTTTCTCTGTGATTGGTCAAATGTGCAGATCATTTTGCGAGAACGTGCCGGTCAAACCCCGGGTTGACTTATCAAGTTGATGACCAGCTTACCAAGCGTAAAGATAACTGAATTCTGATACTGGAGAAATACCCAGAGTATGCTGAACTCACTTTGTAGTACAGGGTCCAGGCAAAACCTTTAGCCTAGCGAGATAAAGGAAATACTGCATATTTCAAAAATTAATGTGAAAACAGGAAAGTGAGATTAGAAAATCGATACAAAAGTAACTAGGTCACCCTCTAATTTTGATTTCATATAGTGGTTTGTTGGCAGATCATTGCAATCCCATTCAAAGTTGAATACTGTGGAGGGAAATATAATAAAAGGTACACCTTGCTGTGTTTTACATCTTAAACAACAAAGTCTCACATCTGAGAAGCTGAAGCCGGTGAACATTTGTCATTTTCCTTTGATAAATGACTTCAATGACTGCTGTTTAAGTTCGCTGAAGCACTGGTGCTGCAAAAAAACGGAATTACATTGGCAGTTACACACCTCTGCCGGTACTACTGTATACAAGCAAATGTAAAATTTGTGAACGCAGAGCAAAGTCAAATCCATCATTCGGCAGGCTATAACTATAACTAGCGTGAGGCATTAAAATTTTTAGGAGCTTTCATGGTACATTCAGCTCCGCACAATCAAAAGATAAAAGGTAAATGGAGGACAACGGCACTATGAGGTGTTTTATGAGTTTCATCTGGGACACAACCGACTTTTAAAGGATCACGTAAAGATGGAGATGGCTGCAGTATGTTCTGAAACGCTAAGTACCACTAACCAGTGTCTATAAGTGACGCCGATACAAGAATCTCCAAGGCACGGGCACAGGTGAATGAACATGTCTCTACTTTCTGATTTTGGAGAGGAGAACTGAAAACTCAGAAATACAAGGAAACAAACAAACAATCATAAACTTCTCTGCAGGGCTTTCTGCAAGGTTCACTGAGACCTTCGTGATAAGAAAAGTGAGGAATAAAATGTTGAGGAAAGCATGTAGCTATCTTAGCAATAACAACGAGAAGGCTGCAACTACTTTGGCACATGAATGGAAGTAAGGCATCTGTATCATTCTAGAGTCAAAAAAGAGTTGAAATGGAGCATTGTTCCCAACCAGCAAAAATGTCAAAACAGACTTATGTAAGAAAAAAAAAGCAAGCGTTTACTGTTAATTAAGTGTCTGACAGCACACTCTTCTCTTGTGCTGCTGCATACTTGCAAAATAACACTGGGAGAAAAATATGCGGTACCTTAAAAAAATGCAAGAAAAGAAAAAACCTTGACCACTTTCACAAATTAAAGAAAACAAAACAAAACAAGAGCCAATAGTGAATGCTGAAAAACAGAGCAGAGTCTGTTTGTGTCACAACGATGACCTGAATGAGGATATTGCGATGGTGAGGAACAGGGAGAGGGGGGAGATCTCCACACTCCAGGCTCTGGAGCCACGGGCGCTCATACCTGGGAAACAAGAAAAACAAGGTAAAAGCACCGTGGCTGACATCCGCCTGAAACACACATTTCTAACCCAAAGTTTCAATTCTCTGCTCTGTCAGCTGCTGAGAATAACACGCTTAGGTTGTCAAAACATAAAATATGCATGCTGACGTTTCATGGGGTTACTTAAAATGTGGTGCAAACTCATTTGTGTGCTGGCTTTTAAGTGCATGGGTAAAAAATGTATTAGAGGAAGTGAGTGTAAAGGACCCAGAACACTGATGCAGTTTGCTTCAATCGCTGCTTTCTCACTACATAATATACTTGATAAAAATGACTCTGCCAGACAGCGCGTTTCCTGCTCCTCCGGGAATGATGAGCCCATTTAACAAAAAAACCCATGTTGAATTCTACCTCTTTCTGTTTTCAGGGATACGACACAAAAGTTCAACAATCCAAAGTAGCATTTAGGGCAGGGGAACAGCCCCCGCTGGAGTCCCACAGGACACCAATAGCATCTAGCCAAAGCGAGTCTGTGACAGAGATGGATTGTGTTGCATATTTCAGCAAACTATAAGCGCAGAAGAGCGCAGGGGAGGTGGGATGGGGCCTTGAGTAAGGGTGGGTCAGGGGAGGACAAAATGTCCCTGTCAGATTTACAGTGTTAAGTGACTTTATTTACAAAAATGGGCAAAAAAGAAAGAAAAAGGTCCCAGTGAATTCATATGTCAAATTTTGGCATTTGTCTATGTTCCTCTGGAGTATGAGAGCAGCATATTTTAAAGGGAAGGGCACGAGGAAAACTCAAATTATTCTTTCCGTTTTTGACCATTTAACCACTGCAACTTCACAAAACATGAACACCGAGCTTACTTAGCTGGTGGATTCGTATGGGATCTGATGCCGGCCCTAATCCTCCTTCACTCAGTGTCTGCACAAAGATGATGTACTCCTCATCGTCCTCAGGGAGGGTCAGCTCTGCTGTTGCATTGACTGTTGTGAGTGTGATTACCTCTTTGTGTCGCTGCCTATGGTATGACAGCTGAAAGGGGAACACAAACAAGGTTGCAAATATGTTTTCTAACACCATAACAACTTCAAACGCATAAGCTTCGTGGTTACCTAGTGTACCAAGTTCCCGTGAAAGCAACTGAGAAAGTAAAACTCACTTGATAGCCCAAAACTTCTGATTCTGATTCCATTGCCACCACAGGTTCCCAGTAAACAGACAGCTGAGAGCCCATTAGGTTCCATCCCACATTCATTGGCGGCTGGGAAGGTGCTGCGTGATATAAAAATTATTAACAATTTTATATCACTGCAGAAACATTAGTGTCACATTGGTGTATAATCCCAATTTCAAAAATTTGGGACACTGTGTAAAATAAAAAATAAAAACCAATAGTGTATTCACAATAAAACAAGGCAAACATAACAGATAATTAAACTGAGACATTTTAATATTTCATAAAATATAATAGCTCATTTTGAATTTGATGGCAACAACACATCACATCAAAGTTGGGAAAGTAAGTGATATTAAAAAGAAACTACTAAACAGGTTTATGAGCAACAGGTCAGTGACATGACCGGGTATAAAAGGAGCATTTTAAAGAGGCAGAGCTCCTCTAAAGTAAAGATGGACAGAGGTTCATTGATCTGGGAAAAAAGTGTGTCTGCAAATTGTGGAACAATTTCAGAATGATGTTTGTCAAATTGTTAGGACTTTGAAAATCTCATCATCTGCAGTACATGATGTCATGAAAGATTCGGGGAATCTGAAGAAATCTCTGTGCGCAAAGGATAAGGACAAAAATCAACACTGCATGCACGTGATCTTCGTGCCCTCAGGCAACGCTGCACTAAAACCAGGCATGATTTAGTCATGGAAATCACAGCATGGGCTCAGGAACACTTCCAGAAATTGTCTGTGAGCACAGTTTGCTGTGCAGGTTAAAGCTTTATCGTGCAAAGAAGCTGTATGTGAACACGATCCAGAAGCATCTTCCCTGGAAAACTGTTCTGTGGTGAGACAAATTGAAACCCGAAAATCTTTCTGCAAAACACGGACACTACGTCCCCAGATTAAAAAGGAGAGGGATGATCAGTGATGGTATGGGGCTGCGTTTAGTGCCCATCTAGTACAACCGGAAATGAAATATGCGACAAACAAGACCCAGAAGTGTTGAGCACCACGAATCTTATATCAGACAAGAATAGGACAACATCGGTCCAGCAGCTTCTATCCTCAGCTCCCAAAAAATTCATTCATTAAAAGAAGACTGGATGCTACACAGTAGTAAACATGGCCCTGTTACAACTTTTTTGAGACTTATTTCTGCTGTCAAATTCAAAATGAGCTAATATTTTTTCAGTTTAAACTTTTGAAATGACTTCTATGTTCTGCTTTGTACTAAATATGAGTTTATTGGAATTAGCTAACCATTGCATTCTGCTTTTATTTGCATTTTACACAGCACCCCAACTTGGTGAGATTGAACAAGAAAGATTTTATTTCACTTAAAGGATAACACAACTTTAAAAAGATTGAATTAAATACTATTATTATATGACACTAATCTTTGCCCAGTTTGGAAGTACAAATAAAGTGTGGATAAAAGCAGAATGGAACCAGTTCACTTTAAGGTGATTTGCTTTGCAGCTTCAAAATCATTTTGATGCTACACTGATCTGTTAAATGGCAGGTGGCATCTGTTTAATCCCCACTCCCCGACTACATTGCCCATTTTGGCAGTTAGTAAATTCAGTGAGAGGGTAGCACCTCCTGGGAAATGCAAGTTGCCAAGGATAATAAAGGCAAAGCCCTGCAGATTGTGACTACTGAGGACACAAGGCCCTCGTCAGGGGACTGACAGATCAAGGTCCGGTTGCACAGAGTCAAGTGGAAGCAGTGTGCTTGGAAGCAGAAAAGATATAAGCGGGTCAGGCTGATGACTAAGCTAAAGGCTAACAAAACCATGTTGGCTATTCCTTCGGGGGGTTTTTGGAGGCAACTTTTGCTCACAGGGCATTAAATCAGACCTGCTTCAGCTCTTGTACAAAGCAAACTAATGGTGTATAAAACAGCTTTATTCGGGTTAAGCACGCTAATCTGCCTCCTGCTGCTGACTTGAAATTGTCGGCATTGAGATGAAGACTCTGTGTTTGTTACATGAACTGTTGCTAGTCTGTGTTCCAGCACGTCTCTAACCACTGCTCAACAAATCTTCATACTCCGCTTTAAATTGAAACTACTATGTCAAATGTGGTAAATGAGATGACTTAATGTTTTTGAATAATATGCGATCATTATGAACTTAATGTGTTTTTAAAGATTCGCAACAGGGCAACGTTTGCCACTACATCTCCTTTTAACAACACTTTGCAAGCATTTGGGAATAAAGGGAGGCGGCAGTCCTAAGAAAGATATATTTTTTATATTTTTTGCATTAAATAGAAATCAACTGCTCGACAGCTCTGCGCCTCGATTATTTGCTATGTGATAAAATATGCCATCAACCTGGGAGGGACCACATATTAAAATTAGTCTATGTGGCTAAATCTGGAATATTTACATGATGAATTTAAGTGCTCATAGAGAAGTACAAGCTACTCACGCTATGTACGTGGACATGCATTTTTTGCATGCAGTGAAGAACCATGTCTATTTTGAATGCAGTGATACCCGAGGGCCTGCAGAGCATGGTGCTATCCAAACTGGTTTTCAGCCCTCTTCCCCTGCACACAAAGATTTCTCTGGGTTCTCTTAATCTTTTAATATTTTGTCCCGTCGATGATAAAATCCCCAAAGGCTTTACAATTTTACACAGAGTGATAAAACCCTCCCTATCTTTACATCCTCTCTGGGACTTTCCTTTTATATTTTTTTGATCTAACTTTTTTGGCACGTGTTCCTGTGAAAAAGACCATATTTTTTCACAACAATACAATCTCTCAGATTTAGCCTATTATATTTGCATAGTTATCCTTTACATGCATTCTGTTTTTGTAACGCTGCACTGCGTTACTGGACTTGGATGCAGACACGTTTCAACACATGCTAGATTTCCCCAGCATTATTGGAAAAGCTAAGAATAGACTTCAATTAAACCACTAACTGTTTCCACCTCTGAATTCTAAGCAGTGTAGTCACAAAAATCAAACCCTTGAGCAGCAGTATTGTATGCCGCAACTTACGTGGCTTTTTTGTGGTGACATTGATTGCAGGGAGGAATGGGCTAGTGCCTGCTGTATTGAAGGCGCTGACTGTTAGGAAATACTGTGTATTTCCTGCCAAGCCACCCACTGTGGCCGAGGTTTGGTTCCAAGGCACTCTAACTTTCCCCATGGTCTCTGGTTTAGTGTCATCTTCCCAGTAAGCCACCTATTTTCAGAAAGAGAGCACGTAATTCGGGATAGAAGGCTTTGGATTGGAGCAAAATGTGTACATCTATTCTTTATGTGCTTTCTAGCCCATGTGGCATAAAAGGATGCTTGCAAATATTTGATGTCTTGAAAGAACTGTGAAATTTTAAATAAAAGGCTTTGATTGTAATGATTGTAATGATGATTGTAATGTGAGATATTTGATATCTCACATTACAAATCCTTACAGCTCCTAGAAATGGTTTAAAATGTACATACATTCGAACATAGATGAATGATTAGTCTCCTCGCTGATTAATTAACATATATTAATTGCCAAAAAATAATAAAAATATTCAGTGTAAAAGTGTTTTTCCAGCAAACACCAAAAAGAGAAAAGCAGCAAATACTCCCAAGTGTGGTGCAGGGAACTATAAAGCCTCTGTACTTAATGACTGAAACTATTCATTGATATTAAATTGCCAATCAATTCTTTTGATTGTTGCTTGACTATCTAATTGTTTCAACAATACCTCATGGCTTTGTAATGTGGCAATATTTTTTTCTTTAATGGAAAGCTGCCTGATTAAAAATGGCTTTTAAACAGTTATGCTACAGATCGAGTGCCAGCAAAATGTATTTAAAATAAACGTAAGAGATTTTTGTTATTATCCAAACCATTAGCCTGGAAATAAATGATCCCAAATGAAATCCTTTTTAAGCAGTCATTCACTTTTCCGTCATCATTATTCAGTGTCTAATATCATAGAAGCAGCTCAGATATAAACAGCAACAAAAAAAAAAAAGAGTAAAAAAAGAAATCTACTTTCGCAGATGGAGTTATGGAAACAACTTTGACTTTATTGAGCAAAAGAATAACAACATCTTTCATTAAAGCCCTTTGATCATCCTGATTATTCCATCAGAGGTATGTGGACGAGGCAATCAGGGTGTCCTAGTTTTAAAGGTAAGAAGGGATGAAATCAGCAGTTCCTGGTTTGAAGTGTAACAGTTTAATGTTTTACTCAGAGGAAAGTAAAAACACACCACATCTAGACCCGTGTTGCTGCTGTGCTGTGCTCCATGCATTTCCAGTGTAGCATTTCCCAGTGCCGTGACACAAGGCCCGATATTGCTATCATGATATCCCATGAATGACAGCAACATGAAAAGGCATGTGGCCAGGCAATTTTCTTTTGTTCTCTTGAAAACGCTCTGACATGTTTTCCTGTTGTGTTGCCACAAAGAGCTGTATAATTTTGGCAATAACAGTCGGCCAAGTGAAACAGCCATTTCCATGGCGACGCAGAGTTTGGAAGTGATGGTTTTGAGGTACAACAGGGGTTGATGGTGAGCATTTGAATCGTGTTGCTTGTGAGAATGTGTGTGTGATTTCTATTTCCATTTAAAAGAGTAAAATGTACCTCATAGCCCAGAACCCTTTCAGGGATGAAGGAGAGAGCCTGCCAATTCACCTCAATCTCAGAGGCTGAGACACTTCTGGCCCTAACTCCCGCTGGCTTCTCACTTGGCTCTGAAAACAGACAACGGGAGACTGAGCTGTGCCGCCGTCTTCCAAAAGCACAGAAACGAGCAGAACAAATCTCTTCAATTTTTACATTTATAACTGTGCGCATTC